AAATGTCAAAAGCTGGTGGGGATATAGTTTTGGAGTGGTTGGTACTGTTGGTCTATATATGTATGAAAGGGGGTATGGAGTGATTGGTACTTTTGTTCAGTAAATGTATGAAAGAGGGAAAGGGTACCTAGGGATTGGCATGGGGCATAGTTCCTTTGTATAAAGGCAAGTGGAACAAAAGAGTGTAAAAATTATGGGGGGGAATAAGCCTCTTGAAGTATACCAGTTAAGTGTATGGTGGGCTATTATTAAACCCAAATTAAGGGTAAGATGGAGAGCAAGTTTGCAGATGAACAAGGCTTTAGGAAGAGTAGGGAATGTGTAGACTAAGTATTTACATTGAAGCATATAAGTGAACAGTGTTTAGCTACAGGTAAGGTTTTCATTGCCTCAGGTTAGGGTATGTAGGAGAGAGGGAGATTATTTTTCAGTAAAAGTCGGCCTTAGACAGGAATGCATGATGTCATGATGTGGCATGCAAAGAGTACGTAACCTTTATTCGGCGCATGTACACACCCTCTTTTACGGGCTACTCCCCCAACCAGCGAACCGGGTTGCTAAGAGTTGATGATGGGGCCCCATCGTTCAACTAGTGACCAGGTTCTAGCCAATAAGAAGATGGTTTTGGCAATCACAGAGGTTATGTGGGTACCGCTCTCCTGTCTGCCCTTGTCATTCCCATTCTAGAGCTGGTTGAAGCACGGTCTACTATCTTGTGGCTTCTATTTCTGCCTTGCTTACCGTGGAGTGCACTATACTTATTACTGTACATAGTGTACATATTGCTGTTCTAAATTGGTGAAGGATAATATAAGTCTAAACTTTTTCTACTGTGTTTATTTTGCTCCCATTACACCCGGGATAACAGGCCATTTGGATTCCTGGGTTGTAATACCATGGTTGTTTAACATATTTATAGATGGGGTTGTAAAAGAAGTTAATGCTAGGGTGTTGGAGAGAGGTGTGGGATTAAGATATGTAGAATCTAATACAAAATGGAAATTGTCACAGTTCCTTTACGTATGCCAATGACACTGTGGTTTTGGGAGATTCTGAAGAGAGGTTGCAAAGGTTGGATGAATTTGGGAGGGTAAAAGAAGGATATTAAAAGTGAATATAGGAAATAGCAAGATTGTGAGGATAAACAATTTAAGAAATGAAAGATTAGATATGAGATTGGAAGGAGGGAGCATGGCGGTACCAACATTCTTATGTGGGCGTGACACATTAGTTGTGAATGTTGCAGTGAGGAGGAGGCTGGAGGCAGTGAAGATATCATGTCTGAGGGCAAGGTGTGGTGTGAATATTATGCAGAGAATTCATAGCTAGAAGAGTAGTAGGTGCGGGGTTACTAAAAGTATTATCTAGAGAGCTAAGGAGGGGTTGTTGAGATGGTTTAGACATTTAGAGAGATGAAGTAGAATGGATGCTTGGAGGGTGTATAAATTTGTAGTGGAGGAAGTGGGTAGGGGTGTCCTAAGAAAGGTTGTAGGGAGGGGGTAAAGGAGATTTTAAGTGCAAGTGGCTTGGACATCCAGCAGGTGTGTGTAAGTGTGATAGTAGTGAGTGGAGGCAAGTGGTTTTTGTGACATTCTGTTGGAATATAAGCAAGGTAACATTTATAAAGGGGTTCAGGAAACTGGTAATTCAGACACGAAATCCTAGAGGTGGTTTACCTGGAGTTTACCTGGAGAGAGTTCCGGGGGTCAACGCCCCCGCGGCCCGGTCTGTGACCAGGCCTCCTGGTGGATCAGAGCCTGATCAACCAGGCTGTTGCTGCTGGCTGCACGCAAACCACGACACCACACCCGGGTGATCAGGGAACGACTTTTGGTGCTTGTCCCGTGCCACTTGAAGACTGCCAGGGGTCTGTTGGTAATCCCCTTTGTTGCTGGGAGGGAGTTGAACATCTCGGGCCCCTGACACTAATTTTATGGTCCTTAAAGTGCTATGACAACCCTGCTTTTTTTTTTTTTTTTTCCCCAAAAATTTTTTTTAAAAAAAAAGGGGTTTTTTTTTTTGGGGGGGGGTTTTTTTAAAAAAAAAAAAGGGGGGGCCCCTTTTTTTTAAAAATTAAAAATGAAAAAAAAATTTTTTTTGGGGGGAAAAAAACCCCCAAATTTTTTTTTAAAAAAATTTTTTTTTGGGGGGAAGGGGGGGGGGGTTTTTTTAAAATTTTAAAGGGGGGGGGAAAAACCCCGGGTTTAAAATTTTTGGGGGGGCCCCCCCCCCCCCCCTTTGGAAGGGTTTCCCCTTGGGGGGGTTTTTTGGGGGGGGGGGGGGAATTTAAAACCCCCAAAATTTTTTTTGGGGGGGGGGGTTTTTTTTTTTTTTTTTCCCTTTGGGGAAATTTTAAAAAAAAAGTTTTTTAAATTTGAAAAAAAAAGGGGTTTTTTTTTTTCAAAAAACCAAACCCCCCGGGGGTTTTTTGGGGTTTTAAAAACCCCAAAAAAAGGGGGGGGCCCCCCGGGGGGGGGGAAAAAGGGGTGAAAAAGGGGGGGGGGGGGGGAAAAAAACCAAAAAGGGGGTAAAAGGGGGGGGGGGGGTTTTAAAAAAAAAAAAAAGGGGGGGGGGGGGGGGGGGAAAAAAATTGGGGCCCCCCAAAAAAAATTTTTTTTCCCCAAATTTTTATTTTTTTTTTTTTTCCTTTTAAAAAATTTTTTGGTTTTTTTTTGGGTTTTGGGGGGGGGGGGGGGGAAAACCCCTTTGGGGGTTTTGTTTTATTTTGGGGGTTTTTAAATTTAAAAAATTTTTTTTTTTTTTTTTGGGGAAAAAAAAATTTTTTTTCCCCCCGGGGGCCCTTTTTTTTAAAATTTTTTTTTTTTTTTTCCCCCTTTAAAATTTTTTTTTTAAAAAGTTTTTTTTTAATTTTAATTTTTTTTAAAAAAATCCAATTTTTTTGGCCCCCAAAAAAAAAACCCCCCCAATTTAAAAAACCCCAAAAAAAAAAAAAATTTTAAAAAACCTTGGGGGGTTTTTTTTAATTTTTTTTTTTTTCCCCCCCCTTTTTTTTCCTTCTCCCCCCCCCCAAATTTTTTTTTTTTCCCCCTTTTTTTTTGGGGGGAGGGGGGGCCCCCAAAACCCTTTTCCCCAAAAAAAGGGGTTTTTTTTTGGGGGGGGGAAAAAAAAAAAAACCCCCCCCGTTTTTTTTTTTTTTTTTTTTTTCCCCCTTTTAAACCCCTTGGCCCCCCCCCTTTCCCCCCCCAAAAAAAGCCCCCTTGTTAAAAAAATTTTTTTTTTCTCCCCCTTCCCTTTTTAAATTTTTTTTTTTTAAAAAATTTTGGGGCCCCCCTTTTTTTTTTTTAAAAATTTTTTCTTTTTTGGGCCCCCCCTTTCCAAAAGGGGGTTTTTTTTTCCCTTTTTTTTTTTTCCCCAAAAACTTTTAAAAAGGGGTTTTTAACCCAAAATTGGGGGTTTTTTTAAAAAAACCCCAAAAAAAACCCCCCCCAAAAATTTTTAAAAGGGGGCCCCCCAAAAAGGGGGGGCCCCCCCTTTTTTGGGGGGGGGAAAAAAAATTTTAAAAAAAAAAGGGGCCCCCTGGGGGGGGGGGGAAAAAAAAAGGGGGGGGTTTTTTAAAAGGGAAAAGGGGGGAAAAAGGGGGGAAAAAAAATTTTTTAAAAATTTTAAAAAACCGGGGTTTTTTTTTGGGGAAAAAAAAACCCCCTTTTTTTTTTAAAAAAAAATTTTTTTTTTTTTTTTAAACCCCTTTTTTCCCCCTTTTAAAATTCCTTTTAAACCCCTTCCCCCCCCCAAAAATTTTTCCCCAATTAAAAAGGGGCCCTTGGGGGCCCCCTTCCACCCCCCCCCCTTTTTTTAAGGGGGCCCCCCCCTTTTTTTCCCCCCCTTTTTCCCCAAAAAAAAAAAAAAACCCCCCCTTTTTTCCCCAACCCCTCCCCAAAATTTTCCCCCCCCTTTTTTTCCCCCCCCCCCCAAAAAAATTTTTTCCCCCTTTTTCCAAAAAAAACCCCCCCCCAAAAACCCTTTTTTTTCCCCCCCCCAAAAACCCCAAAACCCCCCCCCCCCCCCACCCCCCCCAAAAAAAAAAACCCCCCCCAAACCCCCCCCACTCCCCCCCCCCCCCCCCCAAAACCCCCCCCCCAACCCAAAAAACCAACACCCCTCCACCCCCCCCCCCAAAATTTCCTCCCCCCCGGGCCCCCCCCAACCTCCCACCCCAAAACCCCCCCCCCCAAATTTTTCCCCCCCCCCCCCCCCCAAACCAACCCCCACCCCCACCCCCCCCCCCCAACCCCCCCCCCCCCCCCCAAACCCCAAACCCCCCCCCCACCACCCCCCCCCCCCCTTTTTCCCCAAACCAAAACTCCCCCCCCCCCCCCCCCCCCCCCAAACCCCCCCCCCAAAAAAACCCCCCCCAAACCCCCCAAAAAACCCCCCTTCCCCCCCCCCAAAAACCCCCCCAACCCCCACCCCCTCCCCCCCCACCCCCCCCCAAATCCCTCCCAACCCCCAGAAAACCCCCCCCCCCCCCCAACCCCCCCCCCCCCCCCCCCCCCCCCAAAAACCCCCCCCCTTTCCCCCCCCCCCAACCCCCCCCCCAAATTCCCCCCCCCCCCCCACCCCCCCCCCCCCCCCCCCCCCCCCCCCCCCCCCACCCCCCCCCCCCCCCCCCACCCCCCACCCCCCAACCCCCCCAAAACCCCCCCCCCCCCTTTTTTTCCCCCTTTTTCCCCCCCCCCCCCCTTTTAACCCCCCCCCCCCCCCCTTCCCCCACCCCTCCCCCCCCCCAAAAACCCCCCCAATTTCCCCCCCACCCCCCCCCCCCCCCCCAACCCCCCCCCCTTTTCCCCCCCACCCCCTGCCCCAAAAAACCCCCCCCCCCCCCCCCCCAAAAAACCCCCCCCCACCCCCCCCCCCCCCCCCCCCCCCCCCCCCCCAAACCCCCCCCCCCCCCCCCCCAAAACCCCCCCCTTTTCCCCCCCCCCAACCCCCCCTAAACCCCCCTTTAAACCCCCCCCCCCCTTTTTTGGGGGGTTTTTTTT